CATCTCCTATTTGTTTCTGTATTATTTTCTGAAACCTCTTATCTGTTGCCTCAAGGTCCCCTGGCACCCAGCATTATCTCTTATCCCTCCCACGCAACTTTGTTCTATCTACTTTTTGGGCTTACCTCTTCCATGTTTAACTACAATTAGGCAACAAAAAAGGAAAATCTGCCCTCCCAGCAACAGTCACATGTTTAATTTTCCATACACTTTTTTTCAAATGTGTTTTCTATTATAGGTCTGTGAAAAAGGGAGCTTATCTCATTGATAGCAGCACTGTGGATCCCAGTGTGTCTCAAACACTGGCTCCATTAGCTAGAGAGAAAGGTGCTACATATCTTGATGGCCCTGTGTCTGGGGGAACTATTGGAGCCGAAGCAGGGACCCTCACTTTCATGATTGGTGGAGAAGAGGATGCCATGAAGAAGGTCGAACCTTTACTTCTCTGCATGGGAAGTAGGGTCGTTTACTGTGGGAAACACGGAATGGGACTTGTGGCCAAGATTGCCAATAACATGCTCTTGGGTATCTCAATGCTTGGAGTCTCTGAAGCTATGAATCTGGGCATCAAGTATGTCTTTATTGTGTTTGTAGCATTACAGTACATAAAGATGTATATAAAGGTTCCAATGGTACAAATGTATATTTTTTGTTTGTTCCTGAAGGTTGGGTATGGATCCAAAAACTCTGATGGGCATCCTTAATACTTCTACTGGGCGTTGCTGGTCTTCTGAGATGTACAACCCTGTACCTGGTCTATTGCCTAATGTACCGAGCTCCAAAGGCTACAAAGTAAGTTTTTAATCTTTGCTCTTCTATCTTCTTAATTTACCTGCTTTTACTCTACAGTTATTTAATTAAAATTATCTTACTCTCAGGGAGGTTTTGGTGTTGCCCTAATTGCCAAAGACCTGGGTATTGCTCAAAATGTAGCCATCCAGTCAGGTGTTCCTATACCGATGGGTGCTCAAGCCCATCAGATGTACAGGATCATGGACCTGAAGGATTTGGGTGACAAAGATCTTGCAGTTGCCTACCAATACCTGAAGTCTGAAAAGTCTTCTTAAAATTTCTGCTATTCTCATTTGCAAATGTGTTATGATCAAACAAATCAATGTATTTGTATTTTACCACTTGCAGAGCTATCCTTATCCCTGTGTGTCCTACATTTGTCTCGTGATAATTCAAAAATTTGTACTTACTTTTTAAAGTTTCCAAATAAACCATTTGAATAGTTTTACTTTCATGTACCATAAGTGCTGCTACTGTTATCAAAAATTGTTTTAATTTTAAAGTGTTTTTATATATTTTTTGTTAAGTTAGCAGGGTTTTGTTTTGTGTGCCTAAGGACCATGTGCAATACAGTATTTAATTAAGGAACATACCATACTAGCTAGAAATGTAAGTTTTTGACTTCAAATTGTGCCATGTTTTGCCTACTTTGTGCTTGTTCTCTCGTCAAGAGTTTTTTTTGTGATGTTTGCGTCAACAAAGCCTCACAGTACAACGGATCATTTATCATAAGGATTAAATGTCCTATTTCTTTGTAAATCTATTTTCTTATGATTTGAATATGTACAACAACATATGAATTTACCAAGTTAATGTCTCTACGTACTTAATAATTGCCATTAAAGTCGTTGGAAGACTCAAGACTTAAAATGTTGTGTTTGTTTCTTAAAATCATCGAATTTTGTCTTGTGCGATTTGGTGTTGGCGCGATAACTGGCGCCAACAATGTGCCCTTCCCTCGGACCAAGCTCGGCTCTCCCTTCCCTCACCGTTCGGAAGCCGAACATAACCCAAACAAAGAGCCGAGTTAGATCCGAATGAAACCCGAGCCCTGCGCACGAGAGGAAAAGTAGCAGTAGACAGACGGTCCACAGACTGACAGACGCAAGCACGTCGCTGTTGTTTCTTTGCCCAACCCATCGACTTAAACTTGTTTTAACATCCACAAGCACGATATTAAACAGTTTTTAAGAGTCCGAAATCTGTTGTCTGATTCTTGAGGAAGCAAATGATTTTTCCGTCAGACAAACTAAATAAATGAATGTTTGTGGCACCGGCAGCATTTTTTGAAACTAATTTGCCCAGCATGACACAATCATCATTGGGAAGCAGGTGATTATTGTACTGGTATTAGACAATTTAGAAGAAAAGTCATCTATTAATTTAAGGCAAGACGCTATCCCGCTATGCTGTTTTATCATGTACCTCACTTTATAAGGAACACACCAGTCTGCTCTGAATATTTACATTCGTAACAAGGTTCTCGGAGGGAGGATATAACCTCCTCTCTTTGTGGTTCTTGATTGAGGTTCTTATTTGAAATGCTTTTATCTTTTTTGTCACTGTAATGTGACATTTATAGTATTCTGTACGGTAAACGTAATTTTTTATCCAGTGTCTTTATTAACCAGTATCATTAATTAGCTCAGCATTGAAATATAATTGTCTTCTTTGTGTGGTTTTGAAAGGAACGTCAGTGAGAAATATCAAGTGATTCCGACTTTCCTGTGCTATATTCTATACCTGAAGAAACATTTATAAATATCGTGAAATTGGTGAACTGATGTTAAGTTTCTCACACTAGGAAACGGGGACGCTCTGATGCAGATGATGAGTCTAGAGATTTCACCCCCCTATCAAAAAGGATCAACAACTTGCACATCAACAATGGGAATTACAGTAATCATTCAGCTTCAACCCATGATGAGGTTTGTGACTGTTTGAAATTATTTACTCTTTTCGTAGCAAGTAATATGCAAACTCTTATTAATAGTTATTATATGTCCAAAACAATGTCTTGTTTTAGATCCACACTGTTTCACCAGCCGAAAGAGGAGGACCAAACACATCTGACGAAGGAAATAACAGCCAAGGTGTTGTGCAGCAGCCTATGTACAGTCCAGATATGAATGTTTCAGATAACCCTTATTATTATGAACCTAATAAGCTATTATACTACCTGAACATAGAACGTATGCAACGATCTGGTCAGTCATTTGGATAGTCTCCATCCTCAGTCAATTTAAAGTTGATGGTTTTAAAAACTTTACATGACTTTTCTTCACTGGGTTTACTATTCTGATTATCAACAATCTCATAGTTTTCTTCTGTTTACTCTCTTTTTGCTAGGCTTCAAAATTATTGGCTGTTGCTTAATTAGACGTTCTACCAATGACTCTGTATTTATTGTGTATGTTACAACATCTTTTCTAGTCCATCTTTGTATTTCAAAGTAAACCAAATCATCAATTAAGAAGTGTGTCCTTTTTACATACCTGGACAGTTTCTTCTAGTTTTGTAGCACTTTTCAAGGAAATGTGTACTAAGTACAAACCTATAGGATGTTTTCATAGTATGATAAGGTGATTTGGAGGATTTAGGGCATCAGGCAGTTTCACAAGTCAAGAAATCAAGGAAACTACAACATCTTTGTAAAAAGGAAAACCTGGATTGTAGGACAAGCAGGAATTGTATTCAGCCTTTTCCATTTTTCCTTTGAGTATTGGCCATTTTAAATTATTCTTCTCTGTTTGTGTTTGATTGAGTCTGTTGAAAGTTCCATGCTGAAAGTACAGTACTTCCAGATAAATTTTTTGGAAAAACATTTTAGTGCATTTGGAGATCTGAAATGTGTTTCCAAAAACTTTGCAACCAAATAAGGGAAATTTACCTCTTGTACAATCCTGTAATAAGTTTAATAAGAACACATTGACACATTATTGATTCTATTCAGTTTTGTGATGTGGCCAAATTATTAATTTACTTTTGTGTACATAAATTTTTATTTTTTAAAGAACTATAACATTTCCAAGTTACACTGATGAATTTTGTGCCAGCATTAACATTCTTTTTGCATTTGTGTAGTGTTTCTAGTACATATGTTAAATTATTTGTGTATTGTTCTCAAGAAAAAATATTATTCTATTTGTTGGTATGTTCATACTTATATTTTGATACCCAATAGGTTACAGATACATTTAGTCTCAAGGCATTTTCCGTTTTCCTCGGAGAAATGTTAATGTAATGCCTCTTTTAGTACACTTCCATTATTATTTTTTTGTTGTGTGCTAGTTGCCATTTACGCTGAATCATGTTTGAATTTCAGACTTCTAGTTTTTCATATTTATTCAAAAATATGCGTGGGTGTGACAAGGAATTATTTACTGATGGCTGTGTGTCATTAATTAAAAGCAAAATATGTTTTTGTGTGTGTCATTTCATTTGTTTCTCGTCAATAAAAATATTTATTTTCAACGGAATGAAATTATTTTCTTTTTCCAACTAAAAGTTTAAGTAACTCACACCGAGCCCAGCCTATTCTGCGTCACTTTTTGAATAGCCCGGGCAGAATGTGGCGGTAACGGTTGAGCAACTGACTATCGATTCTCCATTTCCCCTCGAAGTGACCGTCATGGCGTCGATTTCGATTTTTTGTGGAGGAGTTCGTTGGAAGCAGCCGTACGAGACGGTTGCCTCGGGTCCGCGCGAAAATTTGAAACAATAACCTCAATTTTCACGTGGCCCGTATGCCACAAGCAGGGAACTTTAAAGGGGGGGGGAATAAAAATCCCTCAAATGGAAATCCAAGTAAGAAGAGTTCAAAAAACGGAAATGATCAAGTGGGACCGAGTCTGAAACGATCAGCCTCAAACCCTTTAGATCAGCAATCCAAGAAACAGCATCAGGAGACCCTGGTGATAGATCAAAGAACCAAATACAGATACTATGAAGAGGATACTGGCCCAGAGTATGTTGTCTTGGTGGAAAGTAAGGAAGAGAACATCGGTAATTTCCATGCTCTTGCTATTGCTCGCTGTCTTCGAGATGCAAAAGTCCCTTACTCCACTGCAACAGCAGCAGGGAAGAACAAGCTCAGACTCATATTCGATGCCGGTTCAAAAGCAAATGAATTCCTGGATTCAAAGCTATGTGAGGAAAGAAGGTGGACAGCTTATATCCCGACCTCCAGAATTACGAGGATGGGAGTGGTCCGAGGTCTTGGAGACCTATTCTCAGACACAGAACTTGCCGAGTCAGCATCCACTGAAGAGGTCAGAGTTCTGCAAGCCTTTAGACTTAATAGACGCACACCTGAGAATACCTGGGAACCCTCTGGAGCGTGGAGACTCACCTTTGAAGGTCAGACTCTCCCAAAGTATATATATCTGGAAGGTCTCCGAATCAAGGTGGAACCATATGTCCCACCTGTCAAGAGGTGCACAAAATGCCAATTATTCGGGCATATATCTAAAGATTGCAGAGGAAAGGCGAGGTGCGGCAAGTGTGGAAACTCACATATGGATGAGGAATGCCCTGAGGAAAAGATTTTTTGCATATATTGCAAAACAGAAGATCATTCTGCAGAAGACAGGGAGAAATGCAATAGATGGGCAAAAGAAAAACAAGTCAAGAAACATATGGCAGAGAAAAACCTATCCTACGCAAAAGCTCTCCAAATCCAGAAACAAACAAACAAACAGGATAAGAAACTCGAAGATTTCCCTCTCCTTCAAGGAAAGAAACCAAATCCCCCAGTTACAGAAAGGACTGAAATCCCACCTCCGGTCTTTACAGGACTTGTGGTTAAAATTCTGGCAGCCGTCAAAGCTGCTTTGGTACCAATCTTGGAAAATCTGGTACAAAAAATTATATCAACATTTACGAACTCCTCCCCATTACTCTCCGGCTTGTCAACAGCTCCAACCTCTCCAGATATTTCAATCTCAGTTAACCAAGAATTCCAGAAAATTTTGCCAGGATTGGAATTCACCTCAGCAGATCTGGTATGGGATGAGGATCACAATACACTCCAAGACGACATACTTTCAGAAGATCCAAAAGCAAATTATGGACCCTGGTAATCCCACCACAATGGAAACGGCTACAACTTTAAAGGTCTTATCATGGAATGCAAATTCACTACAAAACAAATGGAACCTATTGGAACAAATGCTTATCGAAGAAAAAATCCAAATTGCTGCAATACAAGAGTCTAGACTTTCTGATATCCCCACTTTGATGGGAGAATACTGGTCAATCCATGCAGATCTAAAAGTAAACAGTAGAGGCGCTTCAATATTTGTACATAAACAAATAAGATTTCAACACATTAACTTTAATTTACCAGAGTATCCAGAGATTGAAATCACAGGAGTCCAGATCCTATCGAAAAATCCTCTATTTATATACAATGTTTATGTTCATCCAGGCAAATGCATCCATAAACAATTATGGGAGAACATTGGAAGAGACATTCAGTACCCAGCAATAATTTGTGGAGATTTCAACTGCCATCACACCTCCTGGGGAGAACCTCAAGATGATCCAAATGGGGTCTCATTATTCGAATGGATTCAGGAGGAAGATTTGATCCTTTTAAATGATGGTACTCCTACGCGAAGGGGACATCCAGGACAGAGAGACACGGCTATAGATCTGGCGCTTATTTCATCTCGGCTGTACCTGAAAGCAGAATGGACACTTCATGAGGACCTGATGGGAAGCGATCATTTCCCTATGATAATATCATTAGATTTGGAAGCAAATGACACCCCGGCCCAAAAATTTCTTACCACAAGGAAATGGCACACCGATCAGGCTGATTGGGATAAATTTCAAAAGGAAGTCAAAGAACAGGGTTCTCCCCTTTGGCAAAGGCCTCCAAGCCTTCAGACTTATAACGAGTTTATCTCAATAATTACTGCAGCAATGGATAAATCCTGTAAAAAACGCAAACCAGTAATCAGTTACAACGGATATCATCCAAAACCTTGGTGGAACCAAAAGTGTCAGGAGGCAAAAACTAAGAAAAGGGAATTACTAAGGAAGTTCCGCAGAAACAGGACCCCAGAAAACTTCGAGGAATACACAAAACAAGAGAAAGAAACTCAATACGAATACAGTCAGGCACGGAAAACAGGGTGGAGGGACTTTCTCACCTCCATAAGCCCCCGCTCTCCCATGACTCCAATTTGGAGAATGGCAAAGCGATACGCAGGAAGACATTTACCTCCGCAACATACACAGGGGGAGTGGCTACAGGACTTCTTAAAAATTTTCACGCCTGATCACGAGGAAATTCTCCAGGAGCTAGACACTAGACCTCTTGAAACAGAAGATGTGCGACCCCTTCAAGAAGAAAATAAAACAGATTTGGAGAAATTTTTTGAAAAACCTTTTCAAAGGGGTGACATTCTGGAAGCCCTAACGGGAACTAAGGATACATCTCCAGGTGCGGATGGAGTAACTTACTCAATGATTCGAGCTCTACCTGAGGAAGCTTTGGACTATCTTGCTTCGTTATTCAACTTCTTCTGGAAGTCAGCAAGGTATCCTGAGGAATGGAATGAGGCTATAGTCCTTCCAATATTGAAACCTGGAAAACCAGCAGAAGAAGCTAAATCTTACAGGCCAATAGCGCTGACCTCCTGCATATTTAAATCCTTCCAAAAAGTGACTCTCCAAAGGATACAATGGTGGGCTGAAGCACATAATAAACTGGACAGATACCAATTTGGCTTCAGAAAAATGAGGAGTACCACCGATAGTCTGGCCCTCTTAACAACAAACATTCACCTAGCTTTTAGGAAAAAAGAATTTGCAGTTTCGCTCTTTGCAGATATCTCGGGAGCTTACCCAAATGTCAACCCTCAGTTACTGTGTGAGTCCCTCACTCAGAAGGGGCTACCTGCATTCGTGATCGAAAATATCAGATCTTCACTAATGAGAAGAAAATTGAAAGCAACATATGGAGGAATATTAACAGATTTTAGATACACGAGCAAGGGCCTAAACCAGGGTGATATCTGGTCCCCATTATTGTACATTCTGTTTACATCAGACCTAAGGGAAGTTGTTACAGAGGAAGAAGTGCTCATGCTACAGTATGCAGATGACATCAGCCTAACAGTTCGCCACTCATCTCTAAGGGAAGCTATCTACAAACTCCAAGATGCAGCAAGGAACCTGGAGGAAAAGATATCACAAAATGGAGCTACATTAGAGCCAACAAAATCTCAAATGGTGATTTTTACTAGAAAAACCAAAATTCCTGAGCCTCAGCACATATTGCTAAGGGGAGGGGAAGTCCCCATAAAAAAAGAAGCAAAATTCCTAGGAATTACAATGGATCCAGCGCTAAATTGGAAAACTCATGTAGCAAACACCCAAGCAAAGTGCAGAAATCGTTTAAAATTCATACGCTCACTGACAGGACATTGGTGGGGAGCCCACCCAATGACACTGAAACGTACCTATACCTCCTTAATTCGACCAATATTGGACTATGGAATAGAGATCTATGACCCTCATTCCCAAGAGATGTGGGGGAAACTTGAGAGCATACAAATGGAAGCAGCAAGAATTATAACAGGAGCGATGAAGTCCACGCCGAGACATGCTCTACTGGCAGAAACAGGAGAAATGCCCATACAACTTCGACAGCGCTATCATATCCAGAAAATCCTCCTGAAATGGCAGAGTATCTCCACAAACAGTATAATCCCATTAATAGAAGAAGGAAATAATATTAGAACTCAAACCAAATACAGACATCCATTGTTCAGAGGCCTCCAAGATATATTAGTCCCTAAAGATGAAATTTTTTCTTCTGAAATCCCCCTCTGCTATTATGTAGATTATGATGCAAGGGACCTCACCATCAGGCTATCAGCGGATTTTCCTCCTGAAAACACCATAACAGCAGAAGAATTAGAGCCGATTGAAATTTATAACAAACTACGTCAAGATCATTGGAAAAACTTTTATGTGCTGGCTACTGATGGCTCACGTCAAGCAAATGAAACTCCTTCGGTGGGCTCTGCTATGGTAGATGTAAACAGAAGTCCGGAAAAGGCCATCATAAATAAACTCCATAGTTTAGCTTCAGTGTACGACGCAGAAATTAGGGCGCTACAGCTTGCAGTAAATTATCTACCTGAAATAGAAAACCAGAGAAAGATATTAATCCTTACAGATAGTAAAAGCTTAGTAGCAGCCCTACATAGAAGAGATATCTCACCATATGAACCCCCTGAGCTTACCAAGTTAAGAGAAAGCATCAGCAACATACCTAAGCATAAAGATATCTGGATAGCCTGGGTCCCTGCACATAAAGGCATCCTGCCCAATGAGCACGCCGATGTGGCTGCAAAATTAGCAGCTAGAATGGGAATTCCTCATAAAATGCAGCAGAGATATCAAAACTTCCTTCCTGAGGTCAGGACGCACTTCTACAATGAATGGCAACAGCTCAGAAGTGCTGCAGCAAACCGCCTAATAAAACCTGTGGGAAGATTTAATTTTTCATTAGACCGAGACCTTACGTCCCGTACATGGATCAGCCTCGCAGATGAGTGCCCTCGTATTTTTCTGTCACCCCTTATGAGGGTTAGAATGGGCCATACCCATGCGCCAGCATCCCTTCATCGATTTAGGATAATAGACTGCCCTTTGTGCGACCGGTGCGGAGAAGAGGCCACAACAGAACATCTCATCAACTCTTGTCAATTCATCGACCGCCTCCATTTTTTCGAACATCTACAAGAAAATTCAGTACCAGAGCCTCACACTTTTCCATCACTTCTCAAAACTCGCCGCCATATCAAGATCGTCATCACCGCCTTCGCCTTACTCTTCGAGCACAACCCGCACCTGAAACTATAGAACATTAGAACATCGCCTGGCCCACTGCCCACCGCAAGAAGCCAAAAAAGAAGAACCCCCCCCCCTCGATAGAAAAACAACGCAATATCGCGAAGCACAGCAGGTGTTTTCTTGTGTAGTTGTTGACATTTTTTAGTGCGCCGTCGTTATTTTTCTAAGTTTAGTGAATTTAAGACGCGTTCAATTGGAAATTAGAACCATGTTCTATATGAAAAGACGATTTGCTAGAAGAACTGGCGCCAAGATAGTCGTCCGCGCGCCGAGCAAGTAGAGTCCGCGCTTCCCATCTTGTGACCCTATTTCAACGGGCGTTCATATAAGCCTAATTCAATAGAAAGTTGTTCAAGTTATGAAATTAAGTGATATTTTCGTATAGAAAATACAGTGCGTCGATGTCTGTGTGATTGCGGCTACTTACGCCAATGCTAGAATTGGACGCAAGTCTACCCCGGTGACAGCCCGTTGGCTTGAGTGCGAGCGGGGTTTTGAGAAAGTGCCACTAGGCTACTTTTGAGGTAAGTAGGTCTTGTTGCCCGGGCATTTTATTTTCTTGAAAATATCCATTCGCAGTATGTGAGAAACCTTCTTCGTTATTTTATTGTATTTAGCTTCGCCCTGTAAAATTTCTAATTTGATGCATTTACTGAAATGTCCCCATGTTTTCTAATGTGCATCTTGGCATCAGTGCCATCAAAAGAGAAATCTACTTCAACCGTTGGAAGTGAAAGGTCCGTCGTGGTGTTCTCAAAAGATTATTTCGGGTTGTTTTATAGTTAGAATTCATTGCATTTCTCTCTTTTGCAATACATTTAGCACAAAGTGTTCTTTTCTCGAAATCTGGAATGATTTCAGTTATGTCGGCCCATAACCTCAAATTGAGGTGGCCAAGAAGCTTGACAGGTTTCACATATCACACAACAAATTAATCGTTCGTGATCTGTTTTAATAGTTTTACACCATATGGCTATTTTTCTCTTTACAATGGTGAATGTTCTCAACTCCATACTTATTATTTCTCTGTTTACTTATGTTTAGTTTGATTAGGTTAGGTATTATTAACTTGTCTGTGAATTTCCGTACTTCTGTGGGCTATTGTTATCTTGACTGGAAATAATCATCTTGAATAATTGCAACTTAGAGCAGTACGTGCGACAGCTATGAAATCTTGAATTCACATTCTTTCCTTCTTCCGAATATTACTCCTTCAACCAGCTAATAGCAGACCAACGGAGAGATTATTACTACAAGGAATTTTCTATTTGTCACATCATTTTACACAACTCTGAAACCCCTGTGTTAGAATGTCATTTGTTGCATACTTATGTACATCACTTGAACTGTAGTCGCTTAACCAACAAACTACGCTGAAATAACTGACGTATTTGTTTCATTTTGCAGTCAAAATGAATTACACTCCATTCAGCGGTCACTTTACACAAGTGCCAGCAGGTACTGTGCAGCACTACACCACAGCAAAATTTGCTCAGAATGTTGCTGGTCCTACAGGACAGGTATAAATTTTTAAATTTTAATTCTGATTTCAAAATGGTATTTGACTTCCTATCTAATAACATTGGTTCCATTATCTTGTATTTCAGGTGCTTGGTGTTATCAGTAGTATGTCAGAGGATGGAGTAACATATGTGCGACCAGTAGATACTAACGGCCTTACTGTAAACCTTGCTCAGAGTCAAGCTGTTACAACTCAACAAAACCAGGTATTTCTCTTTTCATCCCAGGTTATTCCATTGTATTTATCGACATATTTTATTCAGATTACATTGTAACCATATCTTTATGCTTTTGTCCTGTTATAGGTTCAACCTACTTTCATTTCCATTCCGGTGCAAGTACCAGGGAGCAAGCCAGGTGATCCTCCACAACAACAAATGTTACAAATTCAAGTTGTGGCACCAAGCAGTCAAGCCTTAACAGGAGCGATAACATGTGACAACAATCAACCTAAATATCTATCTACCCCAATCATCACCACATCAGCCCCAGGCAACCCCACTGTTGTTCAGTTTGCCTACAATAATCAATCAGGTATGCTTTTTGCCCCAAACCTAATGTTCTTTCACAACGTCAAGCCATCAATGTTTTTAAATTCTTACCTGAACCCCTGGTATTTTATAAAGGTGAGACGGTGGAAATTCCTTTGATGCAAGCAATACAACAACAGCAAACTCAACAATCCCAACCCACAGCAACTGAGAATGGAGAATGTAACACTAACAATAACAACAACAATCAACAGCATACTATACAGATCCAAACTCAAACAGATGGTAATTAACCTTTTGTTCTTCAAACCAAAACTCTGTATTGCTAGAAAGTATGCTCTACTTAAGGATGAAATTTATTCGTGTTTTCAGAAAATGATGCAGACAAAGTAAATGCTAATAAGGTTACTGTGGTGAAAGTGGAGAAAGACAAACGATTTGAGGGACAAACTGTGCAACAATATGTTGAAATGCCGAGCAATTGGCAAAGTTTAGTCCAACCTGGCTCAACGGTGAGATTACTCAAACTACATGCTGAACGAAAATTTATTTATCCTTAGGCCTGCCTTTAAAAGTTGTGTTTCTCTTTGCAGGTTGCGGACTGTTTGGCTAAACTACCTGCTGCTATTCCACATGGCCTTACAAGTTTCCTTAAATTTGCACCTACCATTAAAAGAGAGACAGAAATTGAATCATCACCTTTGTCAACACATTCTCCTGAAGCAATGTCAAATGATCTTGTTGTTTCATCAGAAGACCCATTGGCTCAGGATCATTCGTCAGACATGACTATTGCAACCGACAATGTTGGTCAAGGAATGGGAGATGGTGTCAAAAAACCCTCTAAAGTGAAAAAGAAGTACAAGAAGAAAAATCCAAAGCCCAAGAAAACAAGACCTGGACAGGTACGTAATGCCAAACAGTAACTGTTCTTTTTTTAAAAGCAACTACCAGTCGTTCAACTTCATGTCATTTTTACATGCATAATCTCTAAATTATACATATTTCAGGTTACAATAGCAACAGCCTTAGATGGAACAACATTGTTCTGTTGTCCTGAGTGTAACATGGCTTACTCTGAAAAGGAATTGCTTGAGCAGCATTTAGCTGTCCACAAAACTGAGCGGCGGTTCATTTGTGACACCTGTGGGGCAGCTCTCAAACGGAAAGAGCATCTGGAACGTCACAAGCTCGGACACAATCCTGAGCGGCCGTACACATGTGATGTGTGCTTCAAAGGCTTCAAACGCAAGGAGCATTTGAATTTACATGTTGTCATCCATTCAGGGGAAAAGACTCAGGTATGGTTATTTTACTACAATGATGGTCTTATAAATGTTTGAAGCTATTATCCATCTAATTTATTGAAAATATTTAAATTGATTTCAGGTGTGTAATGAGTGTGGTAAAGGTTTCTATAGAAAAGATCACCTTCGAAAGCATGCTCGAAGCCACCTAACAAAGAAATTTAAGGAAGAGTTAGGTTTGGTAACTGGAAATCCAGGAGACACACAGTTGCAGCAGGGGCAGACTTTGGAGGATGGTTCTCCTATTATGTCTATTTTACCAAATACTGATGATGTCAATGAAGACGGTTCCATTGAAGACCACCAGCATCACATGGAGTCAACTGTTGTGCTCCCAACTCAAGCTGAGACAAGTACCATAATGCTGCAACATCACCATCATTAGTTTATGAAGACACTTATGTTCATAGAAACATGCCAAGAAACCAGTCCATTTTTCTTCTTAAGAAGTGAATGTGTTATGTAGTGAACATTTGTTTGGGTGTTTTGTCTCTTGATATTTATACCTGTTGAACAACATTTCAATTTTCATTACATTTGCTAGATTACTTCCATTAGTGCTATCTTGTTAAACACTGCTTTAAACATTCAATTTCTATAGACTTCTGGAGAATGATTCTGGTTTCTCTTGTCGATTGTTGTTATAACTTGGACTCTGCTAGTTACCATCACCAGCTACATTCATCCCACCTCATTGCAATCATCTTTCTCATCATTGTTGTACTTTTTGTTTTCTTTTTTTAATATATCTGTTAAACTCGGTGAGCTGGACAGTCATATCATAAGCTGTCTCATTCATGAGTTTTAGTGATCACCTTGAATTAGTTTTTGTTACTGAGAGTGATTCAATATTAGTTGTTGTATGAGTTGTATTGCTGGGCCATGTACACTGTCATGGATTTTAATCTAATTTTGTACAATGTTTATCTGATTGATTATGTGCGATGCTAAACATTTTAAGGTAATGAAAGGGTCTGTAAAATTTGAACCTTTTGTTTCGAATCTCAGCAAAATATTTTACCTCTGGTATGTAACCCAGGTGTCCAGTTTCCTGGTGTTCAGTTCATCTCTTGGTCTAAATGATGATATTTTTATATTGCTTGTCCTCCTACAAAAAATGGGTCGGTATAAATATTTGAAACACTACTTAACGTACTCCATGAACAAATCAATGTACTGTAATGTGACAGATGTTAATATTACTGATTGACACCTTCTAATACAGTACCGTTCATGGGCGTACATTTCACATGCTTGTGGAAGTTCAACTTCCTTCCGAGTAAAAGCAGAACCTTTGTAAACAATGGCAATTGCGGGTTTTTTGTTGACTGTAAGGCTGTTAAACTAGGAACTATTCTTCATACTTCACATGAAAAACAATTTTTATTTCATGATTTTGGAAAAATGCCACTTACACCTACCTTGTATATATTTTCTAGCAATCTTAAGGTTTGTTTGCATTTCTAGATAGCTTCAGGGAGATGAACAATTAATTTGTCACAAGAGTGCCTAAATGCATTTCCCTCACCCTTCCCTTCTCTTGATTTTGCTAACTAACAATGTTACTCTAATTACCTCATCTATTAATGTTTGTCTGTGTGTACAATACATTTATTTTTTATTTTTGTTGTTGCTCTTGGGCATCTTTGTAGCAAAGCTGCATTCCTCCTCAATTTTCTTTTACTCTTGGAAGAAATCCTCTTCACAATTATGAATTTTATAATCTATATTCTGCACATAGTGTGTAGCCCCCTCCCTTCTCTCCAGAATTTTAGATATGGTCTCTTCAAAACTAGAAGCCAATTTTTTTTTAGTATCACGTAATTATTTGTTTTGCAGATGTGGGTGGCATATGGTTCCTGCATTTTATTGTGCTGAGACGCATGTGAATGTGTCTATTGAACGGTACTTTGATGGGAGGGGTTTTGGGATGTGTTGTTATTTGTGTATCTACAAAGAACTATCACTCTCCTTTTACATGTTTCTCATGATGATTGTTCACTATCAGTTTGTTTTAACGAGTATTAAAATCTTATGTACTCAAGTGATCAGATACTACTTGTTACCTAGACCAAGTTCTTTGATATTTTATCTCTGTGTAGGACATGAATGAAACTCCAAGCAGTTTGTTTGCAGTGTGCCAAAAGTTAGGTTTTTAACAGTTAACAATCTGTACTTATTGTGTAAGGTTTCCATCTCATTACTCAGTATTGAACAGATTGCCAATGATTGGAGTGTGTGACACTATTACCTATTTAAATAGTTGTCCCAAAGAATAGTCAGTGTTCCTAATGTTGTAATCCTAGAACCGGTGAAACATTTCGAATAGGTCAATTTATAATAACTGTAATTGTATCATACTCCGTGTAGAGGTGGACTTATCAGAGCATTCTGCTTCCAATCTGACTGGAGTTGACTTGCAATCTTTATAAAAGTTTTAATCTTGTACAGCTGTAATAGCTTTCTTTCAATTAATTTTCTTGCACAAAATCTTTTCCTGTACTTTCCAGTCTGTTCTTTATCTCTTTAAACCGTCTTTTTGGATGGATAACAAACTGTTTGGTTTGCGTTTGCGTTTCATTTGCTGCTCTGTATTATTTAAGGAAACCACAATGACAAAGTACAAGTGCAAATTGTGCAAACGGTGAAGTGTGCATGAGTAGTTTATTCACTTCCGGTTGCTGATTTGCGGCAACCTATAA